GCGGCGGCAGCGTGAGCAGCGCCCGGCGGGCGGCGGGCAGCGCGGCGGGCAGCATGGCGGCCCGAGGACACCGAGCGTTCCGCTCCCCCCGCGCTCCCGGCGGGCCCCGCGCCGGCCCCGGCACCGGCGGACAGCCAACGGCGACACAGGGGCAGCGCAGCGGTGCGCCATGGGAGATGTAGGCCAGACCGGGCCGACGGGAAAGCGAAATCAATCGTGATAAATCTATTTATCGTTTCTAAATAGGAGTAGAAAAAATTTCATGTCTGAAGGAACAGAAATTGCTTCCTCTCTGGAATGTTTGGAAGGAGAATTGGTTAGATTTCTACACTGTATAGCATGGCTAACGGTAAAATTGAAGCATAATGAAGGCAAATTAAACAAAAATAAAGTCTGAAAGCCTTGTCATTTTACCTGACTTTCACTAATTGCAGTAATACATTCTAATGCTGCATAAAGCTTAATAATTTAGGACTATGCATCTACAGCACAGAAACATTCTAGACACTGTAAGAAGGGAATTTATGTGTCCAAAGCTGAGTCTGAGCTGAAGCTGTCCGTACTGCGGGTGGAGTGTGCCGGGATCTGCCCCCGCAGCTGCTGCCACCCTCGGCAAACACTTGCCCCGTTCGCGAGGGATCCAGCCCAGCCCAGCACAGGAGCCCGCAGTTCGTTCCAACACTTTATTGTCACCGATAGCGCTCGGCCTCCGCCGGGACGGGGACAGGCCCGGCCAGCGAAGGGCCGGGGCCGTGAGGGCGCTGCAGGGAGCGGGGCACAGCAGGGACGGAGCACAGCTGGCACCGGGAGCGGGCAGGAGTGCTGCGCCCTCGGGACCCGTGCCACGAGCCCCGGGACAACGACAGGGGCAGGCCGAGCTCCCGCCCGGCCCCGGGGCCGCCAGCTGCCGGGGGAGGGTGGGTGAGCCGGGGCTGCTGCCCCGGGCTGCACGGCGTGGGGGGCTGCACCCCTGCTCCTTGGTCCCCAAAGCTGGCAGTAGGAGCCTCTGGCCCCACCGCCCCTGGGGCACGGGGCCGGGGGGCAGGACGAGTAGTCGAAGTACAGAGTGATTTCGGATGAAGAGTAGTGTTACACTGGAGCCCTGTGCCCACGATCAGTCAAAGGAGATGAGCTGGGCCTCCCCGCTGCCCGGGGGCTGCTGCCCGGGGGCAGGCGCTGCTGGGGGCTGCTGCTGGGGGGGCCCCCCAGCTGGGGCCACCTGCAGCAGAGGAAACAGCTTTGTTAGTGTGTGGCTTCATTAGCATACGAGCCCCACTGGGTCCTGAGCCCCTGGGCTGGTGGCACTCACCTGTTGGTAGAGGGGCTGCTGCCCGGGCAGGTAGGACTGCTGGGCTGGCAGGCTGCTCAGAGCTGTGTCCTGGCCTGGCAGGGCAGACATAAGACCCTATGGGAACGAGGAGGTGGGCGTCAGAGGGGCTGAGGTACATGCAGCACCCATAGGGCACTGGTGGGTGACTGCCCCCAGGATGGCTCCATGGGCTGAGCCCAGCCATGCCTTGTCCCCCCACACCCAAGCTGGAGTGCTCACCTGCATGCTGTAGGGCTGGTAGCCCATGGAGACAGACTGGCTGCCCATGTAGCCCATGGTGCCCGACTGGGGTGCCTGGGAGATGGCTGGGATGCTCTGCGACTGTGAGGCTGCAGTCTGTGGGGAGAGGCTGGTGAGAGGTGGCACAGACAGCAATGGCTCACTTCTCCAGACAAGGCCCTTGAGCCCAGAACTGGATCTAACTCCAGCCCACTTCAACAGCAAGCGCAGCAGATCTGGAACCAACCAGCCCATCCTCCCTCCTGCTCAGAGATGTCATTGCTGAGATTGGGTACATTGCCCAGCCCCACAGAACCCCCCAGCCCTTGTCCCCGTTGGCTGCAGGCTGCACTGCCTTACTTGCCTGGTAGCCCTGTGTGGGTGTGGGCTGGTAGGATGAATACGCAGGGGTGGTGGTGGGCACTGCCGGCCCCTGCTGAGGCCCCTGCCCACTGCTGGTGCCCGGCTGGTACATGTAGGCATTCACCATGCTGGGATCTGGGTGCAGAGAGCAGAGGTTGGAGCAACTGCCTTGGGCTCTCCCCTATCCCCAGAGGCTGAGCTGCTGACGTACCAGTGCCAGGCATGGCAGCGTAGGGCCCAGCTCCCCCTTGTGCAGCCTGGTTCATGTACACGCTGTGCATGGGAGAGCCCTCCACAGAGCCAGCTGGGCTGAAGGTGCCAGGGAAGCTGGTGGACCCAGAGGGCTGGTAGATCACCCCACCGGCTGCAGGCATGGCCTGGAGCTGGTGGGAGAAGGAAAGCCAGCTTAAAGCTGCAGTCCCTGGAACAGGGCAGGGGGAGCCTATCCCAGCAGCTGTACCTGAGCATAAGGCAGTGAGAAAGCTGGCATCTGGGCTCTCATCTGGATGGTCTGCTTCTGCTGCTCCAGGCGCAACTGCCTCTCCTTCTCCTGCTCCTGCAGTCGCTGGATGGCCAGCTGACGCTGCATCTCCAGGTACTCCTGTGGCAACAGGGCTGTGGTGGCTGGGAGCCACCACACCACACAGCCCCTTCTACCAGGGCAGCCAGCCCTGGGCTGGGCCTGCACTACCCCGGACATGCTTCCCTGCCTCACCTGCTTCTTCTGCCTCATGATCTCCAGCTTCTGTGCCAGCTGGATCTGGCGCTGCCGCTCTGCCTCCTCCGCAGCACGGCGCAGCTTCTCCTGGTGCTCCTCCCGTAGCGCGTTCAGAGCCCCACGCGCATCCCGGATCTGGGCCAGTTTGTCCTGCAGGCCCTCATAGTACACTGGGGAAGGAAGGGACAGCCTCAGGAACGCGGGGACAGAGCACTGGGATTGCACACCAGCTTCTCTCCAGTGAGACTGTGCCACGGGAACGCTGAGCCCTGACAGTGTGGAAGCCCCGGCTGCCGCCCACCCACGCCCAGGGCCAGCAGCTCCCCCGGCTCCCACGCACGCCTGCGCTCGTCCAGCTGGTTCAGCAGCTCCAGCAGCTGTGGGTGCATGTTGTTGATGGACTGGAAGAGGGACAACACGGCAGAGTCGTTGGTGATGCTGCGGCCTCGCATGTGGTTGCTCTTCATGCGGTTGACGAAGGTGGTGACCGCGTTCTGCAGTGCCTTCAGGAACTGCTCGTGGTTCTCCTCGGACTCACCATTTTGGTACTGCTGCTGGAAGGAAGGACGGGGCAGCCAGTCAGCTGTGACCTCCCAGTGCAAGAGCCAGCAGCTGACCTGCAGAGCCCAAAAGTCGGGTGCTTCTTGCCCCTTGGTGGGTGCCAGACCCAGGCCCAGGCCCCCTCTTACCTCAACCACCCCAAGAGGGGCAGGGTGGGCTTCCCCAGGCTGCACAGCTGGCTCTGTCAGGGACAGGGGTGCTGACGGTGTGGGGCTCTTGCGAACCTCCTCCTGTTTCTTCTCCCAGTAGTTGCGGTTCAGGTACCGAGCCAGCTGCCAGGAAGGGAAGGAAGATGAGCATTGCTGCCTCACAGGAGCAAGCCTGTGCTGCAGACTAGCAGGATTCTTACCTCTGGGTCAATGTCCTCGGCCAAGGGAGCAGAGGAATTCTGGAAAGAGACAAATGGAGAAATGCAGTTCAGCAAAACCACAGATCCCCAAGTCCCACGCAGGTATTCAGCTTGGACCTGGCCACGTATGACCACCAGTGCTGAGCCTCAAAGGGGGCACAAGCTGGGAGGCAGTGGAGGCACCCAAGTCCTGGCTGAGAACACACCTTCTTGCTCAGAACACAGTGAACGAGCAAGGGGTTGAATGGGGCAAAAATTTTCTCTTAGTACGGGGATTAAATTAGACACAGTCAGGGCAGACTCAGGCTCAGGAAGTGGCCTGTGGCCAGCCACTTCACGTGCCACGGACGTACCACAGGTGGGGAGTAGAGTGTGCTGACTGGGGGAGCTGAGGATGTGACAGGAGTGGGCTCAGCCTTAGGGTACATGGAGTAGGTTGTTTTCTGCCTCTGCAAAAGAGAAAATTTCCAACTCAGAGAGAGTCCAGGCTTCTCCAAACCAACCCCAACACAGCCTGTGCCTGGCTCTGCTTTCACCCTCTTATTCCACAGGCTTTCAGCCTTGCTCACACCAGGACATGTCCAGAGATCTGTTATGGCCCAGCACAGCTGAGCTGAAGAGCAACAACCTCTCCCGGACCCCAGCAGTGAACAAACCATTCTCTCCTTCTCCTCAGCCTCTGACTGAGACAAGGCAATAGCCAGTTGGAGCTCCTCTTCCTCTTGCAGAGCTGTCTCATCACGCTTTGGAGGCAGCTGGAAGTGGAAACATATGGAGGTGGTCAGTAATGGCATCAACAAACGGGTCAGGAACACCAGATCATCTGTGGGGCAGCTGCTCACCTGGGACTGCTGAGAAAGGGGGCTGGTCAGGTACTCGGGGGGCAGTTCAGAGGTGGCAGCAGCTTTACCCTCAGTTTTCCTGTAGTGACAAGTGACAATATGGACTGAATGCTCTCTCCTCTGCACCAGAGCCCAGCTCTGCACCATGTTCCAGCAGCAAACCCCACTCCCAGGAAGGAAGAGGGCCCAGCCCAGCCTGCACAGCCTGGGAAAGCCCTGTTGTGCTCTGCAGGGAGCTAGCTCCACACCATGCTTTCCCCCTCAAAGTCCCAGCTGTCACAGGCAAAGAAACCCACCACGAAGGGTACTGACTTGTTGAGATGCTCATAGCAGGGCTCACAGACTCTCACTTCCTTCTCAATCCCAAACTTGGGGATGGTGGAATACTTGGAGGAGCATTTTCCACAGAAGATCTGCCCACAAGCCCGGCAGTGGTGCTGTGAAGGACAGGAGACGTGAGTGTGGTGGCAAGACATTCCTTTTCCTTTAGCCAACATCAGTCAGACACTCATTTCCCTGCCAGCAGCCAGGAAACGTGGTCTGTCCCAGCACACTTCACAGAGCAAGTCCTGCAAGTCCCAAGGGCTCTGCAGAGCAGGGAGCCCAGAAGCAGCACCCACCTTGCGCGTCACAACACCAAACTGCACTCGGCACCTGTGACACTCCTCTGCATCCACCCAGTCTGGAGCCTGCAGGGGTCAAGGGAAATGGAGTAAGGAGGGAGGAGTGTG